GATCATTGTGTATTTCAAGATAAGGATTCGGGGAGGATGATTGGAAATGCTAGAGAATGGAATGGCCTTTATTATCTCGAAGATCCAAGTCTGCCCAGCAAGAATAAAATCTCCCACTCTTTCATATCTGAATCCTTGATGACCAACAGAGAAAAAATCGTGTTTTATCATTGTCAGTTGGGACATCCCTCTTTTGGAGTGATCAAAATTATATTTCCCTCTCTGTTTACCAAGTTAGATGTTGAGAGTCTTCATTGTGAGGTGTGTGAACTTGCTAAGCACAAACGTATATCTTTTCCAATAAGTAATAGAATTAGCAATGTCCCGTTTTATCTTGTTCATACTGATGTATGGGGACCTTCTAATATTCCAAATGTGTCTGGCACTCGATGGTTTGTCACCTTTATAGATGACTGTACAAGGGTCACTTGGGTTTTCCTACTTAAACAAAAATCAGAAGTCAGTTCTGTCTTCTTAAACTTCCACTCCATGATAAAAAATCAGTTTGGTGTTAATATTAAGAGGCTTAGGTCAGATAATGCCAAAGATTACTTCAATCATGTCCTTAATTCTTTTTGTCAAAAAGAAGGTATAATTCATGAGTCCTCTTGTGTCAAAACACCACAACAGAATGGGGTCGCAGAGAGGAAAAATGGACATCTATTAAATCAGACTCGGGCATTGTTGTTCCAAAAAAGTGTCCCAAAAAATTTTTGGGGGGAAGCTGTCCTTACAGCAACATACCTTATCAATAGACTACCCTCTAGAGTCTTAGGATCAAAAAGCCCTATGGAAGTTTTGTCGTCTTTCTATCCAAACTTGTCTACTACAAATAATCTTAAACCAAGAGTTTTTGGGTGCATCTCATATGTCCATATTCATAGTACAGACAGGGGAAAACTTGATCCTAGAGCCTTAAAGTGTGTCTTTGTTGGTTACTCACCCACTCAAAAAGGGTATAAATGCTACCACCCCCCATCCAAAAAATTCTTTGTGTCTAGGGATGTTACCTTCAATGAACAAGAGGGTTATTTCCATCAACCTTATCTTCAAGGGGAGAGTTTCAGGGAAGATAAGGAAAGTAGTGATTCTGGTTTCCCCATTCTTCCAGACATGACATTTGAACCTAAACGAAATCATATTGAAAGTAGTAATTCTGGTTTTCCCATTCTTCCAGACTTGATATTTGAACCTAAACAAGATCAAATTGAAGATCAAATTGAAGTTGTAACAAATGAAACAAGTCAAGGAATTGGTCAAGCAAAGGAAGTTGGTCAAGAAAGTGAAATTAATTGTGAAGCTGATCAAGAAGATGTTGAAACTGGAAAATTTGGTAAGAAGCTGGTGTACTCAAAGAAGACTAAGGCCATTCCAGGATCAAGCCATGTTCAAGAATCCAACTCGACTCCACAAAAAGAGGTAACAATTTTTTCTCCAGCTGTGCAGGTTGAAATTGAAACTCAAAATGATCCTGACCTCCCAATTGCCATTAGAAAAGGAACAAGAAAATGCACCAAACAACCACTCTACCCTCTCTCAAATTACCCGTCCTTTAAAAATTTCTCTCCTACCCATAAAACCTTCCTAGTAAACCTAAACACTGTATTTCTACCTAATACCCTATCTGAGGCATTGTCTGACAGAAAATGGAGGCAAACCATGGATGAAGAGATGGAGGCATTGGAGAAGAACAACACTTGGGAGTTAGTCACCTTACCAATAGGAAAGAGGTTAGTTGGATGTAAATGGGTCTTTACAGTGAAATACAAGGCTGATGGATCAATTGAGAGATATAAGGCAAGACTAGTTGCCAAAGGGTTCACCCAAACCTATGAAGTTGATTATTTGGAGACCTTTGCTCCGGTTGCCAAAATGAACACAGTTAGGGTGATATTGTCCCTTGCTGCCAATTATGGTTGGAACTTGGAACAATTTGATGTTAAGAATGCTTTCCTACATGGAGACCTTGAAGAAGAAATCTATATGGAGATACCTCCGGGATATGGTAAAGATGTTGCTGCCAACACTGTTTGCAAGTTGAAAAAGGCATTATATGGGTTAAAACAGTCCCCGTGCATGGTTTGGCGGGTTTACTAAAGTTATGACAGTGTCGGGTTACAAACAAAGCCAAGGGGACCATACTTTGTTTTTTAAACATTCCAAGTCGGGGAGAGTAACAATATTATTGGTGTATGTGGATGACATAATATTAACTGGAGATAATAAAGAAGAGCAACAATTATTGAGTCAATGCTTAGGCAAGGAATTTGAGATCAAGACTTTAGGAAAACTAAAATATTTTTTGGGAATTGAAGTTGCCCACTCCGAGAAAGGGATATTTATATCTCAAGCAGTAAATACATCACTGATTTGCTCAAGGAAACTGGCAAGGCAGCTTGCAAACCCGCTAGTACCCCATTAGAACCAAACCTAAAGCTTGGAAATGCAGAAGAAGATGTTGCTCGTTGAAAAAGATATGTACCAAAGATTAGTGGGCAGACTTATATATTTGTCACATACCAGGCCGATATTGCCTATGCAGTGAGTTTAATTAGCCAATTTATGCATAGCCCAAAGGAGACCCATTTACAAGCTGCCCACAGAATTTTACAGTACCTTAAAGGAACTCCAGGAAGAGGGATTCTATTCAAAAGGAATGGTAATGTGAAGCTTGAAGCCTATACCGATGCCGATTATGCAGGGTCAATTGTGGATAGGAAGTCAACTACAGGATATTGCACCTTTCTTGGAGGAAATCTTGTGACTTGGAGAAGCAAAAGCGAGGTGTAGTGGCTCTGGTCCAGTGCGGAAGCAGAATTCCGAGCCATGGCACAAGGTATATGTGAGTTGCTATGGCTTAAAATCATCTTAGAAGACTTGAGGATAAAGTGGGAAGAACCTATGAAGCTCTATTGTGATAATAAGTCAGCAATCAGTATAGCCCACAACCCAAGTGCAGCATGATAGAACAAAGCATATTGAAGTAGACAGACACTTCATCAAAGAAAAGCTTGATAGTGGCTTGATATGCACTCCATATGTGTCCTCTCAAGACCAAATTGCAGACATTCTTACCAAGGGACTGGGCTGCCATAATTTTGAGAAGATTGTATCCAAGCTGGGAATGGAAAACATCTATTCACCAACTTGAGGGGGAGTGTGAGAAATCAAATAGTATTTTAGGAAAGAATAAATAAGGAAATTTGTATATTTCCTTGTAATCTATAGAGATTTGAATAATTAGGAACAATCCCATAAATCAAGGGATCCTAGCATAAAATAGAGTTATTATATTTCCTAAAATAGTTTAGGTATATATCTTATATCATCTCTTTGTATTGAAATAATAAAATATCATATTTTAGTTAATCTATTTTTCTCAGAGGATTCAAACTAGATTTTTCATTTTAATGATCTTATTTAATGCGGATTGTGTATGATGAAATGACCCCAGCTACCATGGGGAGAACCAAAAAAAAAAAAAGCAAGAGTGGAGTTTTATACCAATTTCTGTTATGCTTTGATTGTTTCTTCTTAAATGCATATTTCATTGGAAGTAATCTCATCATTTACTGATTTTATATTATTTGTTAATGGTAGTTGGATAGTAATTTACAAGCCAGAAAATATAAAATTTCATTCAATGTGCAGAGATTAAACCGTGTCATGTAAATTTTAATTTTTAGTTATTGTTACATTAGAGCATGTGCGTGCAACTCTTTCATGAGCTGAGCTTGACTTGAAAATTGGAAATTGTACTTTGTTCAGTCGATGAGCTGAACTTGAGCTTTTATAGATTTGTGATAAGGACAAACGTATAAGGCAGTTTAGGGTTTAGGAAAGGGAGAGCATAGGAGGAACAAGAAAACAAATCTAGGTTTAGAGGTACATGAAGAATTTAGAAAAGGGAATCCAATGGTGGATTCACACATATTATAGAGGAAGAGAGAAAAGTATTACAATTCAATGTTTCGGAATAGTAGATTTACATGACAGCAATTCCTATATATAGGAATTGGCAGTTAAGGTAGTTTACCACCTAAGACCAACAACCAAAGGAAAAGTTTATAACATTGCCCCCTCCTTGAGAGAAACCTTGCCCTTAAGGTTTGAAGAATGGAAATTTCCACTTTAAAGCATAATAAAATTCCCAAGTAGCATCTTCTGGAAGCTGATGCTTTCATTTAACCAAAACTTTTGTTTCTGGCATCCCCTTCCGTTTGACTGTAATCTGATCCAGAATAGCCTCCAGTTCTTTGTTCATAGATTGTTCCTCGGCATCTGAAGGGAAGGGAGAGTAGAAGCCATTGTTGCAGGCTCCATATGTTTCTTTAATTGTGAAACATGAAAACATTATGAATGCATGAAGATTTGGGTAACTGCAATGCAACCTATTCCACTCGATCAATAATTAGGAATGGCCCATAGAATTTGGGAGACCAGGAGAGGATGCACAGGGCCTATTTGGAGGAAACTTCTCCATAAACCCCTTTAGGAGAGAACAACCAGTAGACAAAATGAGTAAAAAATTAGCTTGTGTTGAAACTAAAATTAGCTTATACATGAGTTTAAAATCAGATTTTGGAGAAACTAATATGAAATAAGTTCTACTATTGTTTATGCATAAGCTAGTTTTAGGTTATGGAGAAGTTAATTTCATTTTCCTTATTTTTCTCTTCTAGAAGTGTTTACGGAGATGTTTCTGAAAACATGACCATTATCTGGTCTTAATATGTTTCTGTTTTGGTTGGGATGCACTGGTAGAGGAGAGGTAATTATATAAGAATAAAACACGAGGGCTATTTTTTCTCTTTCTGTTGTTCCATTCGCATTTTAAATTGGGCAGGGATAGCTTTTTTGTGAAGCATAGCTCTGGGGTAGGGATTAAACCATCTTATTTATACCCCACAAGATGTATAGCTCACTTTCATTTGGTGGAAGAGTTTACTTCTCCTGTTCATTAATTTGTAGAGCCTGATGAATTTATTGTCCCTCTTCAGGTGGAAAACCTGACTCGGAAAGCCCAGCTTCAAGAAGTGGAGTTGGAAAGAACAACTAAACAGTTAAAAGAAGCAATAGCAATTGCAAGTGAAGAAACTGCCAAATGCAAAACAGCAATGGAAGTGATCAAGTCACTTACTGCCCAGGTAGAAACTCTAACCCCTCGAGCAACTTTTAAAAACTATATTCCTACAACAGCTACAAGCTCTCACGTACTCATGAAGTGAAATACGCAGGACCCAAAAAATTTCAATTTCAGGTTGGGTTGGTAACGTTCATTTTGGTTTTTCCATTTAAAATATCTAGAGAAACCTTATTCAAGTAGATTCTGTGCCTTTATTCTCTCTTTAGTTATTTGATTAGACCTTGTTAACTCAGCAGAATGAGTAGAAAAGCCTCACTAATGGGTGAAAGCCTTGTAGATGAAAAAATAATTGTCATAACACAATAAATGTGATTTGTTGTCTGTAGTAAAGCCTTATTCCAGGCAAGTAGTTATTTGACTTGGTCCATAATTATATGCTTTTTATTTATCATAAATAATATAGAGAAAATTTGCATTCAAATACAGTTCTTGCTTTTGACCATGTAGTGAACATATTAAATGGATGACCAGCCTCAGGAACAGTGGCAAGCTTCTATAGGCATTAGGGGGCATGGCCCCCCAAATTACTTAATATATTTATAATTTTGGCCTTCCAATTTAATGGTCATTAAAAATATTTACAATTTTAGCCCCTTATTTAATGTTTTCTAATAAATATTAAAAAAACCATTAATATATATATTGAATAAGAATTTTTTTTATATTTTCACACCTTTTCATATTTTTTCATCTTTTCATATTCTTTTATTATTTATTAATGAAATGATATTTGGCTCCTATTTGTCAAGATCAAACATGCCTAAACTACTACAAGAGGAAAATCTCACAAAACAGAAGCCTATGCATTGATTTGAAATAACTTCAGCAAAAATCAATATCCTAATAAAATTTTGGAAAGCATGAATAGTTACAGTTGGGCTCAATTTAACAAGAAACTAAGCTAGTGGATTCAATTTTAAATTTATGCCTTGTATATATGTACTGGATGTAACATAACTGGTCTCGCTAATCTTCCGTGTCTTTGTTTCCTGCACTGAATAGTTGAAGGACATGGCCGAGAGGTTGCCTATAGGAGCATATAGGACTGTCAGATCACCACCCTCTCTTGCTTCCTTTGGTTCAAATACAGGTTCCAATGACCTTACCAATGCTTCCTTTGACCGATTGAATATTCAAGCAACAAGCCCAGAATCAGACGCAACTGGATCCAATAACCAGTTACTTTCAAATGGATCTAGCACCATCATCAACCGGAGTGTAGGTCACACTAAACATAGTCAGTCAGATGCTACTAGCACAGGTCACATTAAACATGGTCAATCAGATGCAAGTAGCAGAAGTGGAAGCAAAACAAAGGATAATGAGACTGAATGGGTTGAGCAAGATGAACCTGGTGTCTATATTACTCTCACCTCCCTACCAGGAGGTGTAATAGATCTTAGAAGAGTTCGCTTCAGGTATAGAATGCTCTATTGTATTAGCATCTTTTTTTGGTAAACTTACATAACATTTCACCTCCAAATTTGGTAATGTTGAGTAGGAGAATGCTAGGAATACACTTTCTGATACATTTTTTCCAACACATTCTCTATTTTTAGTTGAAATTCTTGTGGGTCTCACCATTGTAGAAATAGAACTACTAGTGGAACCTACATGAATTTTTACCAATTATATTGGAAAGAGTGTAATGTATTGGTATTTCATGTTATAGAGTGTAAGCTATGCCAAGCAATTTCCTACCTAAATGCTTTATTCTTTATTTGGTTTATGATGCTAAAAGAAAGCTTCACTAGCAATTCAGATAACTATGTTGTATTTCAGATTTTTAGCCATATTATATACAATGTGGGTTTAACCTTGCAATGGTAAATGCAGTCGGAAACGGTTTAGTGAGAAACAAGCAGAACAATGGTGGGCCGAGAATCGGGCAAGAGTATATGAACAGTACAATGTGCGCATGATTGACAAGTCGACAATTGGTGTTGGGGGTGGAGACCTGGCTCATTGATGTGATCACCTGTAAATGAGGTGTTTTAACCCGTTTTGGCCGGACTTAAAGAAAGAACGTGGCCTCAAATGGATACATTTGGCTTCCATGCAATATAAAGCATCATAGGAGAGAATAGGGATTTCATAGTGGTTTTGTAATTCCACGTTTTTTTTTTTTTTTCAAATTTGATTACACTTTCCATTTTTTTTACCTATATGTAGCTTGTGTGGGGGTTGAGGGTGAGAAATGTAAATTCGTAGTAGGTTGTTGGCTTTTGTTTAAAGTAGCTGCAATGTAAATTTCATAAGCAAATGCATTTACTAATTTTTCTTTTACACCAGTTATATAAGACCTTCAGCCATGGGATAGATGGCTGATGGCTTTTTAAGTAGTTAATATAGATAGTCTCTGCCAAATGTTTTATTTTTCGTGCTTGTTCAGTATTTCAAAGCAATACGTTCGGATTCTCATTTGTCTAGCAATATTCTATTGCCTTTCATCCATTGTTTCCTTAGCTTATCATCGAACATTGGTGAACTAGCTAATTCAATTGGTGCTGCAGAGGACAAGGTTGGTGAAGAGACAATCAAAGGCTGTTGAGAGGAAGGGAGAATAAAGAGGAAAGTGGAAATAAATGCCCTTATCTTGTCAACCAATATTGCCTATAACAACAGCGCACATGGCCGGTAAGGAAGGAGATCAAATCAGGTATAGAAAGTCGCACTACAAATTAATCTAACGACTAGATGGTGCACCATGCATGGAACTGAGGTGCAACATAGCCTTCAATGCTGCATTGCTACTATTTATATTTTTTATCTGGGTGAATATATATTATGCTTTTTTTTAATATAATGTTTACTTAATTTTTTTCACATTACTTTGTTACATACCTCAATGTGGAAAACATGATTTTATCGTAATTTGACACTTGAACCTATTATTTAATGACTGATTTGATTTTCAAAATATTGACTGCATATTCAGTGGTTGAAAATACTTTCTTTCTCTCAAGTACCACATGCAACTCAAACATTACTAATCCAAATCTAATTCAAATAAGACATTCATATGCAGAGGGGGGAACCAAACAGTTCTCTCCAAACACTCTCGTTGTGCGTCCATAGTGAGTACTTGGTTAAACCATTCTCATTTTCTTTACTGTCTATGTTGGTTTGAGGAATAAGGAAAATCCTTCACTGCATTTATTCTTGAACCCATGTAACACTTTTCAGTGTGTAATAATATGATTTTTGTTTTAGATGTGGATTCTGCTCAGCATTAACTGCTGGTCTATCTTACGAAACCATTAGGTCACAGTTTGTACTGAATCAACTACATCACCATCTAGGGTTTCAAAATATTCAAACTATTTATTTAATGAGGATCTTTATTTTGTTTCTTAATTCTGTATTGGAAAAGAAACTAACAATTTAATCAATGGATGCATTACGTCCAAAACAAAGCATAAGTAACGTACGATTATCTTATCGGCTACAAATTATATTAGAGATTCTTTTGGGCAATCCATTATTATTAAATAAAGCAAAATCCATTCTTCCACAATCTTTTTACCTAAACCAGTCTTCCATAAATCGGGCAACAAACACCTTTATTTTATTAATGAGTTTGTACAAATCAATGAGGTTCCATAACCAATTTAAGCTTCCAACAGGTTCCCCCATTCTTGATCAAGAAAAATTTAACAGTCGTCTATTGATCCACATCATACTAAGAGTTCTCCAATAAGTCATAAATTATTACCATGCAATTTCACCTAAAGGGAGAGAAAAAAGATAAGTAGTAATTATTTTATCCTGTGAAAACAAAAACAGTATCGAATTTGAACCAATACCTGCAGGTTAGGGAAAAAAATAATTGAACTTTTTACGGTGCTACTTGAAAGAATAACAGTATCACTGTTCCAATTTCAATAGCCCCCAGCTAGAAGTGAATTTTCCGGACGCAATCTGTCCCATACCCCCATCATGTTTAACATCAGCAACAGGACCAGTATTGTCATAGCTTCCAAAGACCAACCAAGTAGTCAGAACTAGAACACGCAACATCAGTAGTAGCAGGAGCAAAAAAGGGGTCAAAACTCTATTATCTGCACATACCCTCCTAACATTCAAATCAGAAAAGGAAGGAAACTCATGGCACTCAATTTCAAAGCACGCAAGACAATTTTCCAACAATATGTCTAACGAAACTTGTCCGATCATACAAAATGTACTTTTGACTCATGAACAGAAAGATGTTAAATTTTTACTCTGATAATGTATTAAAGTTTTAATATAAAATTAATTGATAATATATAAAGTATCCTGTATTTAAATCATATTAAATAAAATGGGATTTTCAACATAAAGTTGATGTATTTTCGTAATATTTTATTCTTTGTAGAAAACATGGATACAAAGAGATGAAAAGACTCGGCGGAGGAAAATGTTTAAGTCAAAAGAGTTGCATAATACAAAGGATGAAAGTCCCACATTTCTCAGTAATAGTTTAATCAATGAGAAGCAAAGGATATAAAATATAAGTATGTACGGCTGAAGTAGATACTTACCTGGACGGGGTCATTGGTTGATCACGAAGTTCCATGGCCTAAGGCATTAGCTTCCATTGCACTCTGGAAGGGTAATGTTTTAAGGTCTGCTTGATAAGCAGAGCCTACGTTATTATTTGTGGGAGGTGGGCTTTGCGTTCGCGCAGCCCCTACATTTAAGTTTCAATTGTTGTTATCTATTTAATGATATTATTCGTACAGGAAATAACCATTTATTTTTACACATTCTTTATTTCTAAATATCTAATTGATAATATTATTTATTTTATCACATATAATTTATAATACCTATATTTCTCTCGTTATGTGTTATTTAGTTTTTTGGTGTGTCAATATATTAGTTTTAGTCTCAAAAGAAAATACTAAATTAATAGATGGGGTCAGTTCTATGAATTCTTTTTCTAGATTTAGATTATTTACCGAGTAAGATCATTTTAATTAGTGACTTTTATTTTATTCTTAATCTATATATAAAAACTTAAAATTGCAGTCATTATAAAATAGAGTATTTTCTTATATATAAACAGGACAAAGTGATTGGCCTGTGTTAGCAAGAGTTAAGTGTGTTCGGTTTCATGACAAAAATCCTTCTTCTTCTTTGTCGCTTGCTTCGCTCTGTTCCTTTCTGGATTGATTAGGTGGTGTACAAATAACTTGAAATCCACAAGTTGGAATGCTAAGTCATGACTTGAAATTCACAAGTTATGACGATTAAATTTATATATTTACTGTTAGAAATGTAATATAAATCTATTCTTCAATAGGGATTTAACTGTCATTAGAGACCCTTGGATTGATGGAACCTAACTATTATAACTGATTTAGCTTTTATATAATAACTGCATTCATCACAAAAAAAGTGTTTTCTTTCTCCCATGTAGCTCACATACAGGTCAAATTTTTTGAACCTAATCTGATTCAGTTATTGGAATTTTAACTAAAAATCTAACCTTCAAGAGCAGGAAAATGAGGCATTCTTAATTCACAATAAAGTTCAGTTATTGACTATGTTGGTTTGAGGGAATAGACCTGCTTCTAAGGTAGAACACAACATGATGACAACATATGGATATACCTTCTATATTGTTATCCCACAATAAGATTGCACACCATGTGCAAACCAATATTGTTAATTTTATTTAAGAAAAAATTGTTACAAGTAGGTATTTTCACAACATTTGTTATTCTGTGCAGAAAATAGGGATCTTATTCTCTTGATGACTGATGCAGATGAAGGAGCCCTATTGGGAGGAGAATGATTTATCAGAGCTGTTTCCGAAGACTAACATGCACAAAACAAAAATAGTGTATAATGTCGCACATTGTAAAAGAAGCTATAAGGAGTGAGGAGCTTGGGTTACAAATAAGAAGTGTGTAGGTAAAAGTAACATACTTACCTCGACGGATCAATAGGTGATCAAGAAGGCCCATAATTTAGGGCAGTGACATTCATTGTACTTGGGATGGGTGCTGCTCTAGGGTCTGTTTAAGTGGCAGAACTTATGTCATTATTTGTGCGAGAGGGACATTATTTGTGGGAGAGGGGACACCTGTGTGTTTGCGTATTGAGTTGTGTATTTCTAAACTGCGCGACAATTATTTGTAAATTTTGAACTGAGTTTAGTTATGAAAACTTCTAATTTGGAATAATTTTATTTACAATTTTTAACTGGTTTCAAGCTTTTATACAAATAATGTTAAATCATAGGAATAAAAAATCATATTTGTTAGTGGGAGAACATAGAACTGTCTTGAAGGGGGAAAAGTTTAGGCGAGGCAGGATCTTTTGTTATTTCGTCAGAAAATAGTATTAGAAATAAGAAAATTTACAAAAAAAATAATTTTTATTTTTCATTATTAGATTTAGAAGTAATAAATATAAAAAAAAGTTCTGCATAATGATTATTTTCATTATTATACTTCTACAATTATTTTTAATTTTAATGCTGAAATACAGTACCAAAATAATTTTACTTTCAATTCCAGAAAAAGGAAAAATAAATTTATTTTCAAATTTATTTTATTTAAGAGATTAATGCTCACGATGATGTAAAATAATTTTGCAGGTATATCAATGTAACACAAGTACTGATATATTTTCTTTCCACAATCTTCTTCAACATATGTTACTGTTTCCTTTTTGTTTACAAAGCGAGATTAATGATCATATATATATATATATATATATATATATATATATATATATATATATATATATATATATATATATATATTCTTTAGGTACAGTGTGCACAACAAGAAAAAAAAAATGCTCAGAATAATCAGGTTTACTCTTTCTTTTGGTGACAGCAAAGGAGATTGATCAATTGACTCCTACAACCTATTTAACTCCTCATCCATAATCTCATAAATGGCATAACAAATGTCTTTGCATCCACCAAAATTCGCCTAATTTGAAGACACTAATTGAAAATGCTTTTACTTTGATCCTCAATGCATCACCTGTCTGGAGGAGCCCTATTAAAAGCTTGTATTGATGTGGGGAAAAACATTTGCCTTATTCCTTCAGCTTTGATGATGGGAAAAATTATGTCAAATGCACACTGAAAAATATTAATTGGTTAAAAGTTACTAAACGGAGACTGTCATGTGAACATTTAGTACTAAAACAACGATTATGGACACTGCAGAAGAAACCCCAATTTCTGTAAAAATGGATAAAGAACGTAGAAACAATAACAAAAATGCAATTTTTTGAGGACTAAGTTGCAGACTGATCAAATTAGTGCGTAACTGTTTTTTCATTCAAACTAATAGAAAATAAGGAAAACATGTTATGATGAAACTTGTCAATAGAGAAAGAACAACATCGCTGTAAGGCACCTAAAGCCAAATTTCATGCCTAGAAATTAAATGGAAGGGAGATGGGTGGAAGGAAGAACTCACCAAAATTATTCGAGCTCCAATCCACATCCGTTGAAATGAAGGGAATGGTAAGAGCAAACGGCCAACCCCATAGAATGCAACAGCAAAAAAATGAAGAAGTAAACTCAACGGATAAGGGTTTAGACCAGAGAGCAGAGCAATGGGTCCACCAGAAAATATTTTTCCAAGGCTCAAGTAGTTAAAACATGCTTGGCGCAGTTCCTTTCTGGCGTCATTGGGTGAAACTGAAAAGACCTTGTATAGAGCACCGGCACAAGTATTTATGGTGGATGCCATAGGCTGCAAACAGCATGTCAAGTCATGAGATAAGTATCGTCAAGATTAAAGATTCTAAATAAACATTGATATTTTAATGTGCCCTTAGTCTTCACCTTCCAGCTTAAGCCCGTGAAATAGTTGATTCATGATTTGGTATCAAAGCTATATTACTAAGTAATCTAAACCCTTGTGACACCTAATTGCGGTAAAAGAAAAGTTGAATTTCAGCCAATTATCCATGTTCTCGGAAAGCTCTAGTATGAAAGGGTATCTTCAAAAGTATTCAAGTATCTTCACCCAACAGGTTAAGCTTCTGGATAATGATGTTTGGTTTCCACAAACGTGTTCCACACCACAAATATTATTAAATAGAGATCATTAGGCACATTAGAAACATTCTATATAACAGCAAATTAAATCAAGATATATAGCCAGTTTGCCTTAAATAATAATATATAAGCCAACAAGTAAAAACAATTTACCTTGCGGAAGATGTAAAAGGATTCAAGATATCTGCATAGTGAGGATGCATCATTCAGGTCAACAACTGGCTTAATAAGATCCCGCACGACAACAATATCAGACAGTGCCACTGTCATTCCTCCTCCAGTCAAAGGATGTCGCATATTGAAAGCATCACCCAATAATAGAGCTCCAGGTGTAGGATATGGATCAGCTGGCATGCTACTATTAGGCATGATTCTAATATTTCCTCGATCAATAGCGGATATGAAAGAATCCTGAAGCTCAGGTGGAATCTGGAAATTACACCAGATACATTCGAAGATGAAAGCAGGAATCAATTGTTTTGCTTCTTGGAAGCAAGTAAAAATGCTTACTTGTATATTACAAGTAATGATAAATCACAGCTCGACTACACACAAGTCAAGCACATGCAGGATCATAACAGATACCTGGGAAGCTACCGTAGCCTTCAGGTAATTGGCCATTCCACTCCCAACAGAAGGGACTTTTTGACCTGGTATATCAACTAAGCAGCGAACCTCAGAGCTGCTGATACGATAAAATAAGATAGGGGAAGGATCAGCTAGAATAACATGCCCATAATTTTCAAATGGGAGTTGACAATTCTCCAGAACTAAACCCACGAAAAAGGAGGTTACTTCTACCTGGCAAGTGTTTAATAATATATTAAGGGAAGTCAAGCAAACTGGTGCAAAACTGACAAATCCACCAGATTTCATAACATCACCAAATTCGCTTTGAATTTATCATAAGCATGATGTTACACGTCATTAAAAAGAAAATATTTTGTCACCCGACTATTTAGAAGACAATTAAACCTTGGGATGGCAGAGAGACCGACGAAGATTTGAGAAACAGCCATCACAAATAATTGTGAGCGGAGCATATGCTTTAAGTTCTTGACCAGCTTTAGTTTTGTACTGGACCCCTACAACAGTTTTACTATCCTGTTCAAGAAGAGATGTTACAGTGCCCTGTTCCATTCGTACACTGAAAAAAAGAAAAACCTTATTATCAGGCCAAAAAGAATGCAAACAATAATTTCAATGAAAAATTAGTCATTTTTTGGCTTATTTTGTAGCCAATAAATAATTAAATTCACAATCACAATATAACAAGGAGTACTGGTGCAGAGCAGCAGCTTTTTCTCTCATCCTCTGTATAAAACGTCCATTATGGAAGCTCCTGCCCGCCACATCAGCATGAAACTTCTCCAAAGGATAAGGCAACTTAATTTTTTTCCCATCCATGAAAAGGACATAGCCTAGCACCCTTTGTGCATCGATTTGAGCCACACAGTCTGACAAAGGAAATACACAGCACATTTTAAATATGAGAATGGGTATCTCACAACAAACTTAATTTCCTCCACTACTAGGCATAAGCTAATTTCAGTGGCATAAAAATAAAAATAAAAATTATGGTATTGAACATATTGTCGTTTATCATAAAAATAATATTGATTACAAAAAATGATTTTATATATTTTTTCCCTGCTTGAGTGTCATCATGAAATTGCAAAGGGTTTCCGAGTCGAGCAATAAGACCACAATTATTGAATGTTCTGCAGTAAATGTCAACAAGAGCTAAAACTTGGTATAGAGAGGATGAATATGCCTCAGTGGGAGAGTAGAGGAAAAAAAGACAAATTTAAAATTAAATGAATATAAGAGAAAATTGAAGTAGCACTAAGTAATATTAAAAAAAAAAAAAAACTAGGCTGGTTTGACGGGTTGTAAAAAAAGACAAAAAAGTTAAAGGTTCATAAGTGTCTTCAGACATGTTATTAGTTACAAGTTTCATTTCACTGTAATTGTAGTGGCAATTGGGTATTTGTGCATGTATATGTGTAGAATAGGACCATAAGAAATAATCTAGCTTGCTAGCCAGCTTGATGCATACCTTCTAACCCTAACTCAATTAGCTTTTGATATCCTCCTGGCTGGAGAAGTTCACCAACGATTCGGTGTGGCTCTCTCAAGTCTCTCTCAATAACATGGACACGCCGTCCATCCTGAATGCAATGAGGAGTATAGTGTGGAAAGATGGTTACAATGTCAAAGAATGAAAGTCTATTCAGATAAATTTCGCTGTAACTATATAGGAGAAGAAAATGAAATTAACTTATGCATAAAATAATTTATAAAAGCTTTTTCATGTTAACTTATCTAAGAACTTATTTTAATGTGTATAAATTAATCTAGTTTATGAATAAAAGGAGAAATTTACTAAAATAGGCCACAAGCGAGAGAAATACACTAAATTCTCCTTTCATATTTTGCGTCAAAATTCCACATTGCTATAAGATATTAAAAGGATTTCAAGGCTGTTTGTCATCGGTAGGTCCATTGATTGGTTTTATAGTTAAGCTCTAAAGCGATTGTTATTTGAGATAAATTTACGAACACTCACAATTTTTCCAAGACTAATATAATATTCATCCACGAATTCTACTTTTCTGAAACTAACCCGAAAAGAATGTTAAAAGTAATCCTGAAGTTATTGAGCTACTTAGAAGATTTTAAACAAGGCCATAGACTTTCAAAGTTCGTAATTTAGTTTCTACATTTATAAATCATTTTAATTAGATTTTCATTTGTATTCCCTAAATAGGCGTACTTCATTACAAAAATTAAATATTTCAGGAAACAAATAATGAATTCAATTATTTAATCATTACTTTCAAAGTCAGTATTTTTATTTAATCATTTAGATAAAACATTTCCATAAATAATTATAAAAAAATGAAATAATTTTTTTATATAAAGTTTCATTAGTATAAACTATTTTCTATCAATTTCTCCAAAAATAATTTTTAAACTATAACTAATATTCTGAGAACTTTACTGCAACTAATATTATACATAAGATTAAGTGCCAAGAACACACTTTTGGACACTTTTTTATCCGTTAAAATTTACTGAAAATAGAAAAAAAAACTATGAATCTCATGTTTCTTTTTATATTTAAATTGTACGTAAATTCTAACAAATAAAAGAGTGCTAAAAAACCAAGTTTCAATCCAGTTGAACTCATGTATATTAAGATTCAAATAGGCATGACATCCAATTAAAATAATTTACAAATTCATGATTTCAATTACAAACGTTCGAACCATAAAGAACTAGAAATCTCTACTAGATAATTCACTGATTCAACATCTGCCTAATTTAACAAAGAACCACAACACGTGACGTGGCGCGAGGATGAAAATGGGAAGACGCACCTTGGCGAGGGTGTAGGCGAGAGCGGAACCGGCGACTCCGGCTCCGACGACTATGACATCGGCTGCGCCGAGGAAGCCGAGAGGCGGATCCGGCGTGGCATTGCGGCGGAGAGCGGTTGCTGCGGGGAGAAGCCATGGTGCGATCCGTTGGTTAGGGAAGACGAAAGGAGTGCGATGATGAAGTTTGTTGTAACTGAATTTGAAGAAGGCAGAATGACTAGTGACTTGGGATTGGGAAATGGTTGTGTGAGCGTAGACAAGGGAGTGTGAAGAAACTGAGAGCATTGTGGAAGGAAAAAAAAAATCATAACTTAAAGGATTGGGGTTGTGAAGAAGGATAAAAAAAGGTTATTTGATTGGCATTGATGCGTTTACTGTGGAAGAAAGATTGTACTTCAAGACTTTTACAAATTTTACTTTCTTTATATACAATTTATTTTTATTATAAATATTAAAAAATTCTTTTAAGATATCAAATAAATTATAAATTTTAACTTTATAACATTTTTATGGAGTTGCTTATTAACATAAATTAAATACTATTTATTTAAATAAAATTTTCGGTAAAGAAATCTTACTTAAACAAGGTTCTTAATTTTTTTTATAGTTATTTTGTTAAATAATTTATAAAAATAAATATAATAAAAGAAAAGAAAAAATAAATTTTTAAAATTTATTAATTTTTATTAAAATAAAATTAATAATAAATTAGTTAAAAATAATATGTCTTAATAAATCTATATTTTAGATTTTGACTAGAGTTCCAATTAGAGATTCTTTACTTTCCAAAAATTTCTGAAAAATATTTTCAAATTTCTTGTTGTTTAATTTATATTTTACCATATTAATTAATAATTTTTTTATCATGTAATAATAAATATGAAAAGATAATAAAAATATTTAATATATATATATATATATATATATATATATAATTCTTCGATAATAAAAATAATGGAGGTAATCTTAGAGATTTAAAAAATATTTGTCTATAAATTAATTTGAATAAAATTTAATTGATTGGATACCTAATTCGAAGAAAAAAGTTGATATAAAAAAATAAAATTAATTTGTCTATAAATTAAAATTAAGATCTAAATAAATTTCAGATTTATTCTATATATTTTTGTTTAAAATATTTAATAATTTTTTCTTCAAATTGAATATTTAATAAACTACAAATTTTAGTTTAAAACTTTAATATTATTTACAACATACAGTGTGGTTTAATAAGATATAACATATTTGTGTTGTATGTAAATCACTTGTTGAAATTCTTTAACATGCATTTTTATTATATGAATTTTCAATTTTAGATTTTATTATATGGTTTTGTGAGGTTTCAATAGATTTTTAGATTAAATTGCTTTTTTATATTTTTGTAAAATTTAATTTGTTACTTTTATTTTTAAAATGTTAAATTTCTTCCCTTAATTTTTTAAACAAACTTAATTTTTTAAGCAATAAGAATATACATACAACTCAATTATAGTGGTCTCTATAATAATTTTTATTTATTATTTTTTAAAATATTAAAAAATTAAAACAATAAAAATATGTTACTGTAATTATTTTTAAAATTTAAATATTATAATAAATTTAAATTTTTATTTATATAATATTTTTATCATTGTTATATTTAGTATAATACACTATTACTAATATAACATAGTATTTTATAATAAATTAAAATTGTTCCTTAAAAAAATAAGCCTACAAATTAGTAATCGATAATATAGGTTTCAACAGTTATTCCCTTTAAGCTTTGGAGGTTAAACTTTAGATGTTATGTGGAAGAGGACCACTTGCAAAAATTCTTAAATACTTAAATTAATATTAGCATAAATAAAAAATTCTTCAATAGTTGAATTCTTTTGTAGTTGAATGAATATCATTAGAATATAAAAATAATGTATAAATAGAGGTGGAAAATACGAATGTGTTTGCACAAAGAATAAAATTATTATATTAAGTTAATTATTTTAGATAATAATTTATTATTTTGATATATCATAATTGTTTCCACTATTACTAGGTAATTGTTTTATTTTCATTTTTAGGTATTATCTTCAATATTTATTAATTTAATAACATTAAATATTTAGGAATATTTTGATTTTGTGCCACGTATTGAGATAAGTACACAAATTTTATGTCTCAAAATTTCAATATTTTTCATTTTTTTTATCATTCGTTAAGCGAATATATGCGTTGTTGGCGAATATAAATTTTTCATATTTTTTATTTTTTAATAAATTAAAATTATGGAATGATTCCGGGAATCTTATTTATATTGGGTGAATATGTAACAAATTAATTAGGACTATTAAAACAAGTTCTTCTACTAAAATTAATAATCAAACATATATTTTAAATCAAACCATAATTTAGAGTTTAGTTTGATATTATGTTATCATTTATTTAAATCATAATTTAAATTAGTCGGTCAAATATGATTCAATTTATGTTATAATTTATTTGACTTAACTTAATCTATATCTTATATCTTTTATATTAACTCATACTAAACTTATTTCAACACCCCTAAAATTAACGTAAATTTTACATAATTTATATTACACCCTTACAATTATTTTAAATCATTCATACTACAATTCTAAAACTTCTCGAATCACTAAAGTTTCCATTTTCTTAGCTTTTGTAATGTGGCTTAAATTTGCACACAATGATAATATAAGGCTTAAAATGACTAACAATAATTAATAATTATATAGTATGCTAATTTGACTTTTGACTTATAAAAAAAATTTACCTAAATCATCTCAATTACAATATATATTTTTTAATTAAAAAAAATTAATCAAGTTTTAGAATCTTAAATTTAAGAATGAGCACTCAATTAAAGAATAGTTAAACTTAAAATCCTATCGTTTAATTCTTATCTAAGTTAATTAGATTTGATCAAAAGTTATACAAGGAAAATAAATATATCATACAAGTTATTCTAAACAAAATGATATTAATATAAAATAATTAAATATCAATTTAACTTAAATTTATTTAAAAATGCATAAATTTTTTAAAAAGAATTCATGAGTCATTTATATCAATCCATACTTAAATTTTATTGTCCTTAATACAAAAATAAAATTAAGAAACATAATGCAATAATTTAATTATACGTAAATATTCATAAAGAATGAGAATTTTATAAAAATATTTTAATCTATGACCATTACTTTAAAAGACTAACATGCGATTATATCATAATTTCAACCATTCCACATGAAAACCAATCCATTTGGATCTTAATCTAGAATAAAATAATAAATTTTTTTATCCATCAATGAATTCTTTTCTCAAAATGTTTTTATCATAAAAAAAAATTGTTCTTTCTTTAAAATTCTTAAATTTACAAAAGCTTTTAATCTTAATTTTTCTAGTTTTTGTAATTTTAATAATCTATGGTCACCTGCGTAATAAAAAAGATAAATTACAAGTTTTAATAGTCCAATAAGCTTTATACTCTGTTTTAATTGGAAGATGACAAGTCTTACGAAACAATCCTAAAATAAGACATCCTTAAAAATGTTTTGTAAGTTGTCCCATGAGCTTAAAGAACATCATTTAATTTAATACTTCAATCTCATTTGATAGGTTGAATAATTTTTTCTAAAATCTTATTTATATATTTATTATATATTTCAACTTGACCATTAATTTGATAATGATAAGTTGTAGATGTTTAATGCATAAATCCATACTTTTGAATAAAACAAGAAAATAATCTATTACAAAAATGAGTTCTTTGATCATTAATTATTACCCTTGCAATTCTAAACCTATAAAATAGGTTAGTTTTAATAAAATTTGTAACAACTTTAAATACATAATCATCAACAAGTAAAATATAAATAAATTCAAAAGATAAGGGAAAATGACCCATAAAATAAAACCCTATACATTAAACTTTTCACAAAATAATATAGGTTACTGAGGTATTTGATGTATTCGTGATATATTACAACTTGAAAGCAATGAGGGGGAGATTGATGGAAATGTTTCTGCATTCCCAAGAGATGATTTTGATGATGATTCAAGTCAACTACATTCAAGTCAACACCATTCAAGATGAATTTAAGGATAAGTTGAATTTATGACGTATGTGACAATGTGAAACATTTCCCTACATGCCCAATATATGTTTTTGATAAAGATGATGATTCAAGCAAGCCCAAGATGATTCCTGAAGACTAGATAGAGTCTTAGAATACTGGATATGGAGGTACAAGTTAATGAAGTAATATTATGCATAAGCCTCCAAAGCATAAGTATGATAAAATTCATAACATGATATTTTTCACTGTCATAATTAATTATGATGCATCAGAAATGGAAAAATGATTTTCTCTATCATAATTAATTATACTGGTAATATAATCAATTATGGCAATTCAAATTTGAAAAATATATCCGTTTTAAAGAATAAATGTTTTTGAATATATCCTGATTTTCTCTATGATATTATTAATGTCTAACGACCATTTTATGATGTTATTTTTCTATTTAATTAAGTTTTGATGAAAAATAAAAAACACACAATTACAAAATTCGAAAATACAATTTACATTCAATCAATTTTGAGAAAAAAATTATGAGCAAGGCAACAGAGATCTTTTACACCTTTTGAGAAACCCCTCTTCTCTACTACTGTCTTCTGTGCTTTCATTGTTAATCACACTTGTTCTTGGAGATTGACATTCTACAGACTTCTACAATTTGTTGTCTTCATTACCCAGGTGTGTCTGTTCTTATTTTTATTACCTTCATCCTTTTTGCATTGGTGGAAAAGGAGGTGTTTTTCATCCCTAGTGTGATTCTAGGGAGGGGTTCATCCTTAGTGGGATTCTAAGGAGGTGTTTTTCATCCTTTGATTTGTTTAGAGGAGGTGTTCATCCCTAGTGGGATTCTAGGGAGGTGTTCATCCTTAGTGGGTTTCTAAGGAGGTGATTATCTTTTTAATTAGTTTACTTTTTACTAGTTCTTCTGCTGAGTTGATTGTAATTTGTAAACTGAATTTGAAAGATAGTGAATGGGGAAGTCACTCTTGTGTTAAGAGTTGACTGGGAACTGGATGTAGGGTTGGCTATACCCGAACCAGTATAAATCTTTGTGTGCTCTTCTCATTCCCTTATCTCTTTCTCTTTTCCTGATTATATTATCGCTTCCGCTTTATCTGTGTTCAAACAAATTATTGACTCACAAATAAATTTTTAATTTGATATCTATTTTAATTTGTGCATCTATTCACCCCCCTCTAGATG